TCCCAAAAGCCAGAACAGCAAGAGGGATTGCTGCTTTCACTGCGCAGCAATCCCTCTTGCTGTTCTGGCTTCTGAGATTCAGAATATTTTTTTCTTGTTTTCCTCCTCCAAAAACTAGGTGCGTCTTGTGGTCTGTTACGTCTTATAGAGCGAAAAATACGGTCTTTTATCCCCCCACCCCTGTTCTAAATCTTCCAGCATTCAGCTTCATTGAATGGCCCCAAGTTCTAGTATGATGAAAGAGGGTGAGAAACATTTCTCTTTACTGCCATTATTGCAGCTTGTCAGTCAGAGAGCCGAGGAGCAAGCAGGCAGTGGTTTCTACTGCTGCTCTTTCGCACCACCTCTGTTCTTTGTGTCAGAGTGAGAGGTGGGTGAAGAAGCAGGTTGCAGTGGTGAAAAGGATGAGCTGGTATGGGCCTCACCTGCCTCCTGGCTATGCTGGCTCTGTGGGAGAAGGTTGCAAACTGGCTTTGTTCAAAGGAGGCCAAAGACCAAATTAAGACAAAATGGAAGACATGGCTGTCTTTATTTCAGCCCTCCTAGCCTGTCTTCTTAGTGAACGTTGAAGTATGTTTTAATCTGCTATTTGAGATGCAAATTTGCTTTTTAAAATATTCATCTTAGTTCTAGTACAAAGCCAGGGGTAACAGGTTAATTAATCCAGAAGAAAAGAGGACCAGCTTGAGCTAATAAACAACCTTCTTTTTGGGTATCTGTGCAATAGTCCTTCTGATAGAAAATGCTGGAATAGTAGAACAGACCATGTTAATGTTGCTGTTGGCATCTACCTGTCTTGAGATAGATACCCCTATGGGGATGACGCCAAACTGCTGTGTTTACAGCACCGAAGTGACCACCCCAGGGTGCAAGCCTGGGCAGTATGTATGGAGGTCCTGGATTGCCCAAATGACAATACCCTCCTCTTGATGTGGTCCAAAGGAAAGCAGAGCAAGATGTTTGGCATCAGCTTGGTTGCAGGAGTTGCTGGAAGGAGGCATACAAGGTGCCATCTAACCATCTTAGGGACTCCACTCTGGATTTGTGAAGGGTTTACTCCCGAGCCTTTTCTTCTTCTGAAGGTATCCCACAAGGCAAGGGAGATTTAGGGTCAGAATTTTCCTTCTCCTAGATGGGCTCCCTTCCCATCCACGGTGGACAAACTACCCCAGAAGGAGCATAATGCGCCCCCACCAAAGGTACTAGTCCTTCCCTAATACCTCATATACCCCAATATTACAATGTTAATGTAAACTGGTATAAATGGCACATCCACAGCACAGTCCTAGACATACATGGCTGTAAGTCCCCTTAACTTCCGTGAGGCTTACTTCTAGGTAAAGGGTATTCAAGTATCTATCTCCATAATGTGAATGCTGGTAACTAATTTGAATGAAGAAGATTTTTACATTACTGTGTTGTGATGTTTCACTCTTGGCATTGGACTGGTTTTCATCCAGTCCACTGGCATCCAAATAAACAGAGTACAAGCAATATCTAGCTTGTAAACCCAAAGTGGATCATGCTTGCTTTTTTCCCTCCAAAGCAACCCCCCCCACGACTTTTCTGAGAGGGGTGCAGCTGAAGAACCTAGTTAGTAATTCTTGCTTTGGTTATTTTGAACAAGCGCATTTTAATCCGAGGCAAATTATAACTGTTGCTCTTGCAATAGAATAGCACGTGTTGCTTGGAGTAAAAGGCATTTTATAATCCTTTTGGAATTAGGATGATCAGCTGACTTCATGAAATCCTAGGAAGTAATTTACATATATGTGGACATATGACTGGGTTACTATTAGGTTCAAATATAAGCTGGATGCAGCATATTAGCTCAGGATTGCTTTACCCTAAAAAGTGACATGCTGTTTGTGGTGGAATCTATCCATTTCCATTAACCTTTAGGTTTAGGAAAAAACTTTCAAGTTTCTCTTCTGCCAGAATGATTACAAGAGAACTGTACTGAATACATAATTTGTCTACACTGAAATCTATTGGTTCTGAATTTTGATTTCCTTACTTCTAAAAAAAAATCCACCACCTTCTAGAAATGCTCAGCAACTTGCACTGAACCAGCCTTCTCCAATCACATGTTTTGGACTACATCTCCGAAAACCTTCAGCCAGCATGCTTGATGGTCAGGAATGAAAGAAGTTGCAGTCCAAAGCATTTGGAAGGCAGCAGGTTGGGGGAGGCTGTGCTAAGCTAAATAATTGAGGATAAGGCCATCAATGACTACTAGCCACGATGGGCAGGAGGCAGCAATGCTTCTGAAAGCTTGTTGCTGGAAACTATAGGACAGCAGAGTTCTCTAGGGCTCAGGTCCTGCTTGCATGTTTCCCATAGGCATCTGGTTGGCCACTGTGAGAAAAGGATGCAGGACTAGATGGACCATTGGCCTGATCCAGTAGGCTTTTCTTAATGTTCTAACCACTCATCTCCAGCAGAGTTGTATGATTGATTGTTTGCTCCACACTAAGGCCCCGTCTGCACCACACATTTAAAATACAATGATGCCATTTTAACAGCATCCTGGGAAATGTAGTTTAAGATCTTAAACTAGTGTGGGGAGACCCCAAGCAGTGTTGGGAGACCCCTATTCCCCCCAAAGAGCTTCACTTCTCAGAGTGACTTAGCAGTCAATCCCTCTTCCCAGGAAATTCTGGGAACTGTAGCTCTGTGAGAGGCACGGGGCTCTCCTAACAACTCTCTCTTAAACTATAATTCCCAGGATTCTTTAAAGCAGTTTAAAGCAGTATAATGATGCTTTAAATGCGGGGCTATTTTAAACCCACTATGAGCCTTAGCATTCACCCTCTCTTTTTAGCAGGACTTATTTCTGTATCAAGCATTTTTTTTATTGTTTTAGGGTTGAAGCCTAGCTCTCAGTGGTGTTGCGTCCTTTGCCGGCTCCCAGGGCACGGCACGGAGAGTGAGCAAAATCTGCTGCACCAGCTCAGCCCAGCCCTGGCTGCCGTTGCCACTAGGTGGGCATGGGACACAGAGAGTTCATGGGGCTGCGATTCACCACCTGCTTGCCCGCACAGTGGGGAGCCTGGCTGGCTAATGCAGCCCTTGGAGAGTGCACCCCCCCAATGCTGGCTAGGTGGCCATTCAGCAAGTGGGCCAGGGATGTGGCGGCCAGGCTTGGCTATGGGGCCCAGAGGCCCCTGGCAGCAGGCAGGGTGGAAGAGGGATCCCTACATGGGGACGCCTGGTTTGTGGCCCCTCAAAATCGTGTGCCTGGGCTATGGCCCTCCTGGCCCCCTCACTACACCCCTGCTAGGTCTACAATCTGTGCTTGTCACCTGAAGCTATTCTGTAGGTCCCCACTCCCCGAGAGGTTTGGAGGGTGGCAACACAAAAACAACCTTTTCCCATGGTGGCTCACTGTTTGTGGAATGCTGTCCCCAGAGAGGCTCACCTGGTGCCACCATTACATGCCTTTAGGCACCAGGCAAAAACTCTTCTCTTAAATCAGGACTTTGGCCATTAAATAATCTATGGCCTGTTAAAGGGGTGTGTGTGTGAGTGAGTGAGAGACAGAGAGTGAGTGTGAGAGAGAGAGAAACAGAGAGAGAGAGGAGAAGGGACTGTTATTATGATTATTTTATCATTATGTTGTCTATTATTATGCTTTGTATTGTTTTTTTATTGTCATGCTCCGTAAAACATGTTCTTAATGTTGTACACCGTCTTGAGATCTTTGGGCGGTATATAAACTGAATAAATAAATAAATAAATAAATAAGTGTACTGTTTTTAACTTTTATGCAGTTACATCCTCCCTCTCCCACATTAAACAACCTTCAAATAATATTTTTACAATGTCTAAGCAGGAAGGTTGCCAAAAGCTGATGCTCCCATCTATGCAATAGACTAACGTGTTGGCAACTGGGTTCTCTCCAGTTGTTTTAGACTGCACTTCCCATAGGCCTGGGTGCTGGATGGGGTTGATGGGAGTTGTAGTTTGATAATAACTATTATTATCAAAAGTAATAGTTGGAGGGGACTGAATTGGAGAAAGAGATAATTGATAGTTTGCTTGCTCAACTCTTGATGACTTGCAGCAGAATAGCTGATCTTACTCTGTTGAAAAGGATGATATGAGAGGGTCTAGGGTGGCACCTAGACTGTGGGATGCTCTTTGGGGACAGAGTTGCCACATTCCTTTCCCCTTGAATTTAATTTATTATTATTATTATTATTATTATTATTATTATTATTATTATTATTAGAATTTGTTAGTTGCTTTATCTTGCCTAGGGCAACCCAAAGCAACACGCAACCAACCAACCAACCAACCAACCAACCAGATAGCCCCCCCCCCATAGATACATCAAAATGAAGAGGGGAAAAAAGAAACACATTAAAAACATCCCACCCTCTTCTAGAAGGCGACGGATAGATGTTTTCTGGGAGGCTAGCACTCACTTATTTTTTAATGAAAACTTTGAATTTCATCATGCCAAATTGGTGTGTGTTTGAGAAGATTTTCCCTTTTTCAGCTTTGTGACCATTTTCTGGTTCACTTTATCCTGATTCCACTTTGCTTGAACTTGAGGCTGTGTATGCATGCGTCATCAGGGCTGGCTCAAGACAATTTGCTGCCCAAGGCAAAGGACAAGACAGCACCCTCCCTCAAGGTATATGAAGCTGCCTCACGTTGCCTCACTGTAGGGCCAATCCTACGCACCATACATTCCTCCAAAGAATCCTGGGAATATTGGTTTATCCCTCAGTGTTCCAATTCCCAGAACTCTTAACTAACTATAGTTCCCAGGGTTACCTTAGCAGAAATCTCCTTGCCTACAGCTTCTACCCAACAAGGTTGAATCCAACCAAGTTCTACTCATAGTAGACCCATTGACTTTAGGTTTGTGTCCTTTAATTTTAGATGGTTCTACACCAATCTTCTGGTGCTATGGAGAACACTTTTTTCTGTGACAATCCTTTTGATATTTGATGACCACCATAATCTCTTTCTCTTCTTCTCTTCTCCAGGGTAAACATACCCAGCTCTTTCAACTGCTCCTCATAGGACCTGGTTTTCAGATTCCTCATTATCCTGGTCATTCTCCTCTGGACATGCTTCAGATTGTCAATCTCCTTCCTAAATCATGGAGACTGGAAGTGAGACAGAATACTGCCGATGCACCCCAATCAAATTCAAATGCAGCAAAAGTGAGTTATAAGGACATAAGAAGAGTCCATCTAACCTGGCAGCCTGATCTCACAGTGGCCAACCAGATGTCTTGATGGGAAGAGCCTGCAAGTAGGACCTGAGTGCAACGGCACTGTCTCCTACTGCAGCTTCCAGCAAACAGTATTCTCTGTTCACTTTCTCCATGCCATGTATGTACACTTCTGTCATATCTTGCCACCTGGTGAGATATAGGGAAGGCATAAACCTGAACTTCAGTATGGTGATAGGCAGGCAGCTTAGGAATCTGCCTTCAACCAGGGCAGACTGCCTTCCTGCTCTGTCCAATACTGTTTGCTTTGAATAATGACAGCAGCTCTCCAGGGTTCCATGCAGAGAGGGAGCCATCTCCATTACCTGCTAACAGAATATTTTGGCTGGGGATGCCAGGGAATGAATCTGAGACCTTTCATGAAAGCATGTGTTCCAGCCCCAAGCTACAATCTCTATCACAAGAATGTGGTGTTTCAGGAGCTCTGCACATATTTTTTTTAGTATTTGCCTTTGTGTTCCTGATGGCAGAAAGTCTAGCCCTATGGAAGGAGAAGGGCCCATCTCAGTAGGCAGAGAGGGATGCAATACAAGGACTTAGGGCAGGGGTCAGCAATCTAAGGCCCATGGGTCACAAGCGGCCCACGGGGGTTGTTTAACTGGCCCACGAGCCACCCCTGAACCGAGCCGCCCACTCAGCGAGTGCCCGCGCACTGCGCTAAACCAGTGCAGAGACTTGCTTTTGTGGCACCGGAATTCACATCTGCACAGACACAGATGCCGGAAATTGCAGGTGGGCACGCTCATGTGCACACACAGAGGGATCTCCACTGGAGTTATATCTATTTGGCCATTGCTAAGTTGGGATAGGGGAGGGATGAGACAGAAGGCTTCTGTTTACCAGTGACAGGCTGTGCACCCTAAACCACTCCATGCTCCTGATTTGTGGCCCCTGGATCAGGCCTATCGACCCTGTGCCAAATCAGAGACCACCCCATCTTCAGCATATGTTCAGGAGGGGGTGGAGAAGGAAGGGATTCTACATCTCCCTCTCCCAATGGGGGAGGGAAATCTTGTGGACTATTCACTTTAATGTTAAGATTGCTTTATAGATCTGCTTGCCTTCCAATAAATGAAAATGCTTTTCTAACAGCACAATGCCTTGTTAAATGCACTGATCATCTCTATTGATGTCCCCTACAAAGTCTGAAGTCAAAGCTGTGTTGGTGAATGTTTTTATTGTACTGAGATGGGCAGGCTGTCTCCCTGCACCTGTCCACAGGTTTGATAATTTTCAGTTCTCAATCTTGACCAATCTTTTTGCATAAAAGCAAAAGCTTCAGTGTTTTGTGTAAGTTGTGCTCTACTGAATGCAAACGACGTAATGAAAAGGCGTACAAGAAATATGACATTTCATAAACACAATTGCCTGAGCATTAAGGAGAGCAAACATGTGGTTTTATGAAGAGAGTTATGAATATTTAAACATGCAAAATGAAACTGTTACTAAGTGTCTGTTTTTCATTATCTTCCTGCGAACATTTTCATTTCCAGGAATGTTAATAGCTGTCGGCAGAATGCAGTTATCTTAGTAAGAGAGGGGGGGGGAGGGAGAGGGAGCTATGAGGAAGATGGAACAAGAGTTTAAAATGCTCACTTTGTGATGATGGCTTTTCAACTACATTCCTCCTGTTGAGTAAAAAGTAGGGTGCTTCTGCTCCCCATCACCTTATCTCTATCTGAAACCTTGCTACTGGGAAATAATAGCTTTGTCGGCAGTGACTAGGCATAATCTGCACACTGGGGGCAAATGGGACACCTGAGCTTTGTTGGTATTATTCCATAGGGTTCACAATATTTGACGTAACATTTAGAGCAGTGATGAGGAGCTGCTGCCTAGGGACTGAAGGGAGCCTGCCTGAACCTCCTATATGACCATTCAGACTCTCTCCAGACCACATCTCCCCACACTCACCCCAACTGTCCCCAGGCCACACTCCTCACTGGCTTTTCTTCGAGTGTTTTTGCCTGGATGGAAATGTGCCCTTCAACTCTGATAACAATCTCTTGTGTGTCTGCATGGAGGACAGAGATGGGTGTGTGAGTGTGCGTCAAAACTTGGCTGCTGTAGAAAGGTAACATTTACATTCATTGCCCCACCTCCTTTTGCCTTCCCTTCTGCCACAATGTGGCCCTCAGAAGGTTGTCAGGAAGGAAATGTGGCCCTCGGGCTGACAAAGGTTCCCCATCATGGTTTAGAGTGATAGGATTAAACGGGGGAGACCCAGATTCATATCTGTACTCTGCCTTAAAAGTTTGCTCTCAGCCTAACCTACCTCACAGGGTTGTTGTGAGGGTCATATATGCCACACTGAGCATTTTTGGTAGAAGAAACGGGTGATTTTAATATAATCATAGAATTGTAGAGTTGTAAGTGACCCCGAGGGTCATCTAGTCCAACCCCCTGCAATGCAGGAATCTCAGCTCAAGCATCCATGACAGGTGGCCAGCCAACCTCTGCTAAAAAACCTCCAACGAAGGAGAGTCCACAACCTCCCAAGGGAGACTGTTCCACAAATAATGAACGGAACGGAACGGAATAGAATACAGTGGTACCTTGGGTTACAGATGCTTCAGGTTACAGATGCTTCAGGTTACAGACTCTGCTAACCCAGAAATAGTACCTTGGGTTAAGAACTTTGCTTCAGGATGAGAACAGAAATCATGCAGTGGCGGGATGGCAGCAGCAGGAGGCCCCATTAGCTAAAGTGGTACCTCAGATAAGAACAGTTTCAGGTTAAGAATGGACCTCCAGAACGAATTAAGTTCTTAACCTGAGGTACCACTGTAGAATAGAATAGAACCTCAGTATCACAATTTGCAGATAGTTGCAGATCTGACACCACAGATGGAAAGTTGAAAAGTCTCCTCATGCACAATCCTGTTCTCACTGAAGTCACTCCTCATTTTCAACTTCTAGCCACCAATTGTCTGAGAAGCCATGCGTTGGAGATGCACATGTGAGTTCACCACCCAATCTAAAGTGTGAAATTATCACAGGATGATTGCAGCTGTTTCTTGATAGGTAAATATAGGGGTAGCTGTAGCTCACATGGTGCCATCCAGATGTTTTAGAGTACAACTGCCATCATTCCTAGCTCTTTGCTGGACTGGCAGGGCACATGAGAGTTGTAGTTCAAAACACCTGGAGAGTGCCTGGTTGGGGAAGACTGGGCTATGCAAAAAGATCCTTTGAGCAGCATTGTACATGACTGTAATTCAAACTGTGTTGTCTGAAAAGAGCTCAAGGGTCCACCCCCCCCATACAACAATATGTCATCTTATTAAAATTCATGGGTATAGAACACCATAGAGTTGTTCTTCCATCCCACCAACAAGTGCAGAAACACCATATGGTATAGCTCCTGGAGCTATACCATTCCAGAATAAATCTGCTTTGTCTGCCAAATATCTAAGTGAAATGGGCCACCATATAAAATATAAATGATACCTGTGCATCGCCAGCCAGCACATCAAGGGAACAGCCTAGGCCAGAATTGTTGTCTATTGGCAAGGGGTTCTTTATAGTTGGGAGCACTGAGTTACCTAAAGCCTGACCTGTGTTCTGAAGTGTGTGGCTTAAAAGGGCTATAATATACGTTCCTCCCTGATATTATACTGGCATTTGCAAGGGCACACACCAGGACTGTGGCTTCCTGCTCTCTCTCAGATGGTTCCTCCAACATGCAGGGTGGGCCATGTAGGAAACCTTTCCTATTGGGCAAATGTCTGGGCTCCATGGGGGAAGCCAACCACTTTGGGCAGGGAGGGGGCACAGTCCCTGCTGCTCCCACACCCCTAAGTCCTAAGGGGAGAAATGGCAGCTCAGTCACCCCACGTGGCTGAGTTTTGGGGAAGTGGAAATGCTGATGGCAGCTCTTCCAAATTAGAGCCATCATAACATGCCATATGTTGCAATCAGGAGCTTGTTGACAACGTTTCCATCTTTGCTGCACCCTAACCATTTCCCCACCCTACCTTCACTCAGCCAAATGTTTAAAATAGGTTCTAAAGATAGGCTCTGCAGCATCCTCCTCCAATCAGTCCCTCATGCAAGTTTATCACCAAGGTCTTGACGCCTTCGCTCTTGCTATCTCATTGCGAATTGCCTCGTTCAGGGCACTCTCCAAGCATTCAGGAAACAGAACACCGTGCTGGTTCTTTTCTTTAGTATTTTTTTAAAATACTGCTCTTCATTTAAAGGCAACAGCCTATTAGCATACTATTGACCTCTAGTATCATCTTCACCAACCTGGTGCCCTCCCAGTGTTTTGACCTACAACTCTTGTTGGCTGTAGCCACCAGAAGAGAAGGTTGTCAAATATCCGCTACTTGCATACTTCACCTTGCATACTCTTTGTTTCCCTCATAGCAAACTCAGATGTCTAGTATGTTTTGAAAAGGGTAACTTGATAGGCAGAATTTGCTACTTAGCCCTGAAGAAACTTGGCTCTTCCTCAGCATGGTACCCTCCAGAAGTTGAACCACAACTCCCATCATCTCTGGCCATATACCATGCTGGCTGTGGCTGATGGGAGTTGGAGGCCCAACAATAATGTATGGGGGTGGGCACCAAGTTTAGTAGCTAATTATTATACTATAAACAGCAACTCCCTGTTTGCATGGGGGTTTGTGTTCCAGGTAATCATGTGTGTTGGCGGAGTGAGCATAAGCCTGCCCCACTCTGCCTCGTTCCATTCCCTTCCAGGGCCAAAAACAGCATGCACGTTCAAAATGTTTGCTGCTTGTATTAAAATGTGTGTTCTTGGGAAGCCACTGATATTTATTTGGATGTGAAATGTGAACTCCTATTAAGGATCCCATTTGATCCCATTTAACTGCCTCATTCTAGCATCTCCAGGTAGAGCTGGGAAATGATCCTGCTTAAAACCTTGGAAAACCGCCAGCCAATGGATAACACCAAACTAGATAAACTCAGTATAAAGCAGTTTCCTATGCTCCAACGGAGCAAGAAGTTCAGCTCTGCTTACCTGTGCACAGTGCTATTTTTCTAGAAAAAGAGGTGCTGGAACACACCATGAACACCTCTGTTATTCTGTTAGAATGGCAGTGGCGCCCACCTGAGAGGTTCCGGCATTGAGTTCCAGTGAGTTCTGGCTGAAAAGAAGCCCTGCCTGTGCATACATTTTATTGTAAAATCTGGCCACTTGTGGCAAGTTTGTCATTTGGCAAACGTGGTTGCTGCTATCATGCCTAGTGTGGCTCTTGGTGAAGTCTGAATATATGTTGATGGAAAATCCAGGAAGGAAAATCCAGAATATCACCAATAGCTGTGGTAAAAACATATTAGGCTAAATCACTGACAGCTTGCCTTCTTCAGTGGTGCTTCTCTGAAGCAGACTGCCTCACTCGCTTCCCTGTGGCAAAACCAGCCCTGCTAGGTGGTGCTTTGAAATCTTGTTTGCTTCCATGGCCATGAAAACAGGAAGTGCCTGACTGGTGGAAGGAATCTTCTGATGGGCATTGAAAATAGGCATTATGGGAACCCCAAAGAATGATAAAGACCCTGTTACCTCAAACAACATTGCTGATCTCTCTTTCCATGGTGCACCAGAAATTATCAGAGGGGGTGCTTGAGAATTCTGAGGCTGCCTGTCTTACCTCTAGATTAAAAATGTTCATTGAGGAGGGCTGGCTGCCCAATTCTAGGTCTGCTCCAGCCCCAGTGAACGCAACCATCATTTCACATCCCTCTTTTTTAGCGCAACAGGGCTTCTTGCAAAGTAGAGGCTCCCCAGAGCACATGTGTTAGCACTCTACCTAATATCTGGTCATTGATATATTAAATGGAAGATCTGCCTGTGAGTTGCATCAGTCATCCTAATTGACTCATCAATTGCCATTACACAGAACTCCTTTGTGTCATCTTTTGCTGACAATCCAGTCTTCTACATCTGATGCCAGCCTAGACAGCCCTTCAAACAAATAGCATGTATGATGGAAAAACCTCATTTGATACATTAAACACTCTCTGTTTTCACACCTTCTGCAGCATCTGTTACAGCATCTGCTACAGCATCGTAACTTTCCTTGATCATATCTGAGCCCTCTGTTGGTGTGGGTGGGAGAGT